AGCCAGTTTTAATTGATAGGAAAATGAATGTAGGAAAAGATGGGTGTGTTTTGTTGTTGATAGTGTAGCATATCAGGCTGGCCTGCTTTCTAGTAGAGGCCTGAAAAACTTTTAAAAACATTTGTAAAAAATTATATTTGTAAAATGTCAGCGATATTGAAATTAGTAATTCCAATTTTTCGTTCGGCAATCTGGTCCAACCTTCTTCAGGGAAATTAACATAACAGAGGTTTATATATAAAAGGAACATCTCATGTTTGCCGAACGAAACGTCGGAATTACTCATTTCAATATCGCTGAAATTTTACAAATATGATTTTTTACAAATGTCTACTTCTCACTCGGTGCCCAAATATTTTAGAAGTATTATGTCAAATCTTGATGACAGTTCATTTGAACTTTTGAAAACAGTGCCAGAAACTTGAACAATCCTCTTTCTCTGTCACACAAACCCGCAAAGATTATTTTATCTGATGTATGCCTGTCTATGCATCTCTGTCTCTATTATCCCTCTTAACTCCTTTAAAACGAAAACACGATACGCACACATGCAAATTACACAGACATACTTAAGCATACACTATTCCTCTCATGATTGCCTCTCAATAGGCTTTCAGGTTAATTCTGTCATCAGCAGTGTCACTTTCTTTAGAAAACTTTCACCTCATCATCATTCCAATTTATGTTTAATAATTTCATTGTTGAATTTAGAACAACACATTTAAGCGAACAATATTGTTTTCAATTAGATCTCATCAGGCTTAACTCTAATATATATAAGTTTACAAATAAAATTCAAATATTAACCAGTCATGGTGTTTTGTCTATATGATAATAAGATGGTGAATATAAATTGTGCAATTAGTCATAATAGTAATGATGATAATAATAATTTTTATTATGGTTTTATCAATAATAAAGATGAAAACGTGAGGTGACCTGTGGAAACACAAATGACGAAAACTAGTATGATTAAACAAACAAATGTGGTCGATAAAGGCTAGTAAAAACAAATGAACCGATTAAGTAATTCTAGATTGTAAGGGAAGTAATTGAAACACGTTTTTAATGAAGATGTGATAAGATCAAGGGACAATAAGAGAGGGGTAGAAAATATAAGTAAGGGGTAGTGTAGAAGTAGTCAGTTGTTTATGTCTTGATAGGTCAAGGGAGGGATAATGGCTGTGGCTCGAAGGTGTAGGGAGAATATTTCTCCAACAGGTGTTTACACACACGTGCACAAGCACAAACACATATAAACACCGATTGGATCATGCTCATTCACTCACTATGACCACATTTCTACCCATAAATTCATCAAACTCTCTCTCTTTCTCTGTATATCTCACCCCTTCTCTATTCTGAACATCCTAATAATCAAACTAGTCTTCAGTATTCATCACTGGAGAGACAGACTCTTTTGACTGTTTTATGTATTCTTCTCTTATAGTAGTACAGTACTACTACAAATTCGTGATAACCGAATCGCTATCAATGATGAATCGTCAATTTTTTCAGTCATCATATTTATCTACTATTCTTGGTGTCTTCACACTTCTATGTAGCTTGTATCAGTTCACCGAATGCCTTCACCAGACAGTCACGAGAAAATCATCACCTCATCTCATCTAATCTGAATTCAAATTCATCCATCAATACATCCATCAGAAAGCTGGCAAACTTGCATTCTCACTACAACTGAGCTACGTAGGCATTCACCGAGCGAGCAGTGCATCACTGACATCATTTCTATTTTATCAGGCTTTGTTTAATCGTCAATAGCGAAGTCATCAGTTCTCCCATCAGCTTAGCTTTCCCATCTAATCGGTTGCAACCACCACCTTGTCAATATAAGGTGACAGTGAAGCATCATAATCCACTGGAGTCCCGAGTCACATAAATTATTAGGCAATTATAGTATATTCGGGGAGAGTAGAGCACATACACACAGTGTGGTGCAGTACAATTGGATTCCACCATGCAATGAAGAAATTCACCTGATGATACAGGCACACAGTAGTTAATTAATTACTTATTACTGTATCAGTGTTCGATTTCAGTTCAAACGAAATTCTTTTATCATGGATTGGTCAGTTTTGATGCAGGCTTGACTGGCCGAAATCAGTGCTTCCTTTAGTCAGCACTAAAAATCACCGCTCGACCACTGTTGTCACTCGCTCTACTGCTCATAAGATCTCACTTTATGCGGTGAAAATCTGACTGCTAAATTGCCTGACTCACTGACTTCTGATTTATATTCACACTATCCCATAAATATCCATCAGTATGTGAAGGCTCACATATAAATAGTTCATACATAATCAGTGATAAATGAAAACAAGCACACCATTTCATCATCACTAAGATAATCAAGGAGCAAGTAAATTTCTACAATCAATTCAATATATTCTTTGGTCTCTTTATCTTGCTCTTTCGCTCTATATAATGTTCGCTCGCTCTCTATCCCTCAATTTCTCACAGATTAGTAAGTGAGCGACGTGATGATCATCATTATCAAAAACAGGCATTTTACAAACACTTGACTGCGAACATACTTATTTACTAACTAATTCACATGTCCCTCCTCGTTCATTCATTCATTCGACAAATTTATCACCATGCTGCTGACACACACCAATACAAAAAGATAGACAAACAGCCAGACCACTACACACATAAACTCACTGAAGCATACCCTGTGTGTCGGTTGCATAGTGGTTAGGATTCTCGGTGACCATACACATGATCTTGGGTTCGATCTCATACCGACTAACACCTAATATTATTGAATGGCCTGCAAAATGTGGGCTACAGATATCACAGCCTGAAAATTCCATACTTGTACCAAACATACAGTGTGAAATCCAGTGATAATAAATATAATGAAAACAATAAGATAGGCATGGGAGATTTTGCAAGTATCATCGTGTCAAAGCCTATTGAGCTTTTGACTGACACGGACTAGAGTCGTGTTTGACGATTGAAAATCCTATCAACGTATTCATGCGCTCATCATCTAGTTGTTGATTCCATAAGTCGCTTTTTGCAGAAGGCAATATCTCTACAACACGGCTGTGATGTAACGGGCAACTCTATGACTGGTATTTTGTTGACGATGTCTGTATTTCACAGTCTTTGCTTTAATTTTACTAAACTTACGTATACACAACATTCAGTTTAATCGCCGTTCTACTTGAAACATCTGGGAGATTTGAATAACTTTTTGATATTCAGTGTTATTTTGAGCACATTTAAATAATTAAGAAATTTAATATTGTACAAATAAGAGCTCTCAAAACATAATGTTAGATAAAATGAAGCTTTTAATTCCGTCATTCTCAGTCCATGATATTTCTTCATAACATCGATGACGAATTCGCTGCGTTCGAATGACGAATAGTGTAACTAAGAATTTACATTCACTTTATTATAGACAGCCAACCCACCAGTTATCAACCTCTGCAAGGCAGGATCTTCACAAGTCACCTTTGAAAATTTCCGTGGCAAATAACATGAACATGTCGAGGTGATTGGATGTCTTTGTGCATATACTTGACTTGTAACATTTGTCAAATAATTACACTTCTCCTCATCTTCAGTCAAAAAACATAATCCTCAAATTGTGCCTTTTTGTTCTAATCAGCTACTTCATTCTGACATATCCCATTCCTCTAGACAGACAAAAAAGGCCAACTGAAACAAGATCTTACGAGAGAAAATGCTATATTTAATAAAACATAAAAATGTTAAGTAAACAATGTTTTCCCTTCACCAGTATTGCTTGAATTCCATTTCAATCGAATTCTCTTTCCTGCAACTGAAACAAAATGAAACCGAAATCAAAGTACAGTTAGGTTGAGAATAAACACGTGTCTTGTATAGCAGAAATTATTGTTGGCAATTTTAATCTGACTCGCAGTAATACTAATCTTAAGGGAATACTTCTAGTGAAGATTGAAGCGCACATTAGATGCATGCATTATCTGGTTGATTTCAAGTTGCAATTACCTCTCACAGGAAATCAGCTATGCGAAGCACTATTTGAATTTCCGATGTTCTCAAAAGTTGTTACAACCGGATATTATATACAGCCGCCGATTGTGATTGTGTGACCAGTAAGCCAGTAAATCAGTCATGCTGTGCTTCTACACTAATAAGAGATGAAGAAATGCGATTGAACAGGAGTTCAGTGTTACTTGTTAGCTAGAAATTTAAAATGCCCTGGAGATATATGTAGGAACTTACTTGATTAATACTGATTTGCATCCTCCTTCATTTCAGCCAGGAGCCATTTTATTCCATCTTCTAGGGTTTGAACTAATCCGTTCTAAATCATTTCAATATTTCAACTTACACTTTAAAAATTGAAACCTCTTCATTTCCAGTAGTTTTATTTTGTCGTCTAGTTCCTGAAACAGTGAATTGATTGTCAGTGATATATGAGTAGCATGTTTAATGTTAAGCTGCAACGATATGAAATAAAGCTGAAATCTCATTATGCTCGATCATGTCAAGTACTTTCAATGTAACTGTTATTCTGAACCCAGCAACATATATGATTCTTTTATTTTGACTTTATTGCATGATGGATTGTTGGAGTAACTGAGGCTTTATCGTTTTGGGTATCTTGATAATATGAAAATAGCACTATATGAGCAGTAAAATTACCGATTTTGTTCATAGATATTTCAAATCTAATCGTCAGCAACTATCTGATAATTCGCAGATTTCAGTATTAGCACGACAAGTAATATTGTTAATTTTATCAACGATGTAGTCTAATTTGGTATAAGGGAATACGACGACTTGATAATATAAACGTCATTAGCCACACAGGCTACTTTTGCCTCTTACGAAAATGAAATTCACTGAGAAATGTGTTCATTACCAGAAGTGTATAACATCAAATGTGATCGACTTTAAAAGACAATGTAAAATTACCTGTGCCGTCGGCAAACTCAGAGCGAGCCTTTCATAGGCTTCTGTGATTTTAGCATCATTCAATGTGTCTGGAAGAATAATAACTCTTTATCAAACTCATAGTCGCATACATACTTGATGGTATTGAAGAGAAATACTTCTTACAAATACATTCAGTGTGGAATGAGATATGGGGAAGTAATTTTCAAGCATTGAATTTTCAGTTAGTAAGTAAATTCCTACTTCTAATTGTCGTCCGATATATCTGTCCTTTTTACCTTCACATGATCTTCGAAGAAGACATCTTCAAGGACGAGTCACTGTCAAATTAAAATTTCATGTATTATTCTGTTGAAATTCTTCCATCCTTTATTCGATGTTTGCTTGTTGACACTCAAACGGTTCATTATTTGCAACTCCAAGCTAGTCACTGTCATTCGATTATGATGATCACATTCTCTGGTAAACATGAAGTTCTGAATTTTCTTGTTGTCGAAGCCTCATTATTTTCAATGACAGATGAATCGCATGGAACTATCTGATGAATACCTTTTTGCTTAATTATATTTTAGGTCATGTTAAAACTGATTGTTCAACATTTGTGGATATTCCCCTCCCCACAGCTCGCAAATAAGCTAAGTAATAATAATAATGCAAACACATGATATGATTATGAGAGATACATTGTCCTAGAAACGTCATCCATTTGTGAATACTGTGACAATATGTGTTATATTCACTAAAATAATCTAATATCGAATTAAATTCTAACACAGCACTGATGCGCCAGTGGTCCTGTTATACACCGACAGAAACTCTTAAAACTCAGGTGAGAATAAGAGTGGCATTTAAATCTATAAATTCACTCCAAAATAAAATGTGCCAGCTGGAGCATCCTATAGAGACCAAGCAAGATGATATATTAATTTATCAAACACCTTCTTACGACAGTGTGTTAAACGTGGTAGGAAATGGTCGACTAAATTCGTAAGGCAGGAAGAAACTAGAGGAATGTAGATTAGCTAATCCTGGTGAAGTCAGTAATTAAGACAACAACTGATCTTTTGGATTCGTGTATTTACCTGAAACCACAGAGTAGGATAGAACAAATTGACAGAATGAAAATGCGATGAAGAATATTCAAGGAAGAGATTGATAACTGAAGCTTTATTCATCTAACCACTTAGGAACACATGCATTCGGCATGAATTAACACCTCAGCTGGACAGATAGATTATTCTGCTACTTCAAATTATTGGAAAGAATAAAGAGAAATATATAAATAATGAATTTTGAAGTTATTCGTAGGTAAGAATCTCAAATTGTCTTTGAAATATCTTATAGTGGATACTACCGTTCTATCCGAAAAACGGATCGATATGGACGTGCACTTCACTAAAAAGGTCATGTTTTACGTAAACATGAACAATAACACTATTCGAACTTCAGATTCTGCCCATTGTGGGCATTTTTTTTACTCAGAATGCAAAGGAAAAGAGGTGTAATCCGAAACTAATGCATAAAATCATTCACTTTTTGGCGATCAAATTCCACAGGTTCTTCAGGATGAACATATATATGTATGATCAGCTTACTAAACAGTGAAGACGCCCCAAAATTTATTCACCTAATTGTCTTGAGTTGCTTCGTCTAAATTCACAAAATCAGACATATTGTGAATTTCGCAAATAGTTTTCGGTTGTTTCTTCTTACACTAGTGATTAACTTACTCGATGTTACACAATCTGTTCATTTAAGCAATGAAATCACATAAGGTAATAGTCATGGAAACTCACTTCTTCACTGGGAAAAGAATGTTTTAAAATGAACACGAGAACTCCAATCTCAGCAAAAACACACCCAACACTGAAGATAATCACAGTGTACTCCATCTTCACAGTTCTGAATGCGTGACCCAGAAATGTCACTGACTATTACCGTCACCAAGAGAGCTATGAGGCAGCAAAACAGATGAAGATGAAAAAACGCACCGGTGAATCCCACTGAGATCAATAGGTACTGGAAATGAGTAAGGTATCATATTAGTGAATCATATTTCAGTATACTTTGATATAGGAATAAAACATGTACATTGTGATAATACTATATTACTGTATTAAACTGTAAGATTTTATCAAAATTAATTTTACTTATAATGGAATATTTGAGTATAGTTTTACACATACATTTGTTGAGACATCAGTGCACTGATATTTGTCATGCAATGGCAATAATAGCCAGTCAAAAGTGGTGTTAATTAACTCTCAATGTACGACAACAATGAAATCGTATGAAGGATATCTCTAGGATCAGTGCCCTGAAATGATTGTTATATCCTTCGAAAATAGGCAATGAATCGTCCCTTATTGGCATTTTCGGAATGATAGAAATCAATACGACATCTTTACTGCCTAGATGTGAGTTAAAATATTCGAATCTGCGTTTAACTATCGTAACTTTTTCTAGCTAGCACGGAATCTGGGAAAATATTCACCGTTGCCTTGGGAAAATGTCAGAACAGGTTAGTGTTATCCTCACACATGTTTTCATAAATTTCATCATAGAAAACCGGAAATCACAGCATAATCGGATTCTCATAATTCATGTTCAGCAAAGGTTTACAATAGAGATCCTGGATACTCTTATGAGGACTTCAATCTTATTAGACTAAATCTCCCCGGAATTCCCTCAAGTCACTAAAAACACGGAACGTGGACGATTTAATATAGTTTTAACTTGTTGGGTCGTCTCGTTGTGCATAAGTTTAGGTAACGTCCGATGGCGAGGATGAACAGTGAAGCGAAATGTTGGCACTAAGAATAAATGCGTCACTAGACTACTACTTGCTAATCACTTCTTGGGGTGGAGCCGCTGGATTTTCGTTTCAGTTTTCTGTTTACGTGGATCATCTCAGCAAACTTTCAGATGTGGAGCAATCGCTGGCTTTTTCAATTTCCCATCTGATAGTCTATTACAGTAACATATACCGAGAAAAGAAGCGAGGGAAAACAAGAGAAACAAAAATGGTGTTTACTTACACTAAATACAATCAGAAGATGGTCAAGAACATTCGCATATTTAAAACTCCTGAATAATATGAGAATTATAGTTGGCACTAATCCAAGAAATCTGTAAAATAAACGTGCACACGTAAATTTACTGGTAACGTTGTCTAGACTACTAGCTTGCTAGTTTTCTAGCCGGTCCCAAGCCCGGATAAAGCCGGAGGATTGGGGCGTGGTGTTAGAGACTCCATCCCCAAAACTCAACCAAAGCGCTACAGAAACTTCAACGCACAGATATACTACACATTCTAAAAAAATATAAACAACGGCCTTATTTTCCGCTGGAATCAGGGAAGTGAAATGATGCAGGCCGGTGAAATCCTTCGGACATCCAGTCAGCCGGTGCGTGCCTCTTTTCGATGAAAGAAAAATAACGATGGGTACGTGGAATGTTCGTACAATGTACGAAGCTAGAAAGGCTGCCCAGGTAGCCACAGAAATTAGAAGATAAAAAACAGAAGTGTTGGGAATCTGCGAAAGCAGATGGAACGGAACTGGAAGGTGCCAACTACCAACTGGAGAGACAATAATCTATTCCGGCCACCCAGAGGACAACCACAAGCACACCGAGGGAGTGGCCATCATGGTGTCACCAACAGTAGCCAAAGCTCTCATGTAGTGAGAACCAATCTCCTCCAGGATAATGACAGTAAGGTTCAACTCAAAGGGAAGGAAGGTTACAATCATCCAATGTTATGCGCCTACAAACGTCTCAGAACTAGAGAAGAAGGAGACGTTCTACAGACAGATCCAAACAGTAATGGACAACGTCTCAAATGACGATATCAAAATCCTGATGGGCAAAATGAATGCTAAGCTGGGAAGAGACGACACAGGAAGAGAACTAACCATGAGGCCCTCGGGGAAATGAGAGACAATGGTGAACTCTTCTCAGACTTCTGTGCCTTCAATGATTTAGTGATTAGTGGCAGTGTGTTCAAACATAAATATGTACACAAGGAGACATGGATTTCACCAGATCGACACACCAAAAACCAGATAGACATTATTTCAATCTCAAAGAAGAGGAGACGGAGCGTACTGGACACAAGGTCGAGGAGAGGAGCAGATGTGGGTTCAGACCACTATCTAGTAGAAGCGACTTTCAAGGTGAGACTAAAAGCCTCAAGGATAGCTGGGGATAGGCGAAAATGAAAGTTCAACACTCAATTACTAAAGGACACAACCACAAAAGAAGCTTTCACTGCAACTGTCAGAGCAAAGCAGGAAACACTACGCGACATCACTGAAGAATCATGCGTGGAAGAACATTAGAAGTCTCTGAAGGCGATCTCAACGAAACGTGTTCAACGGTTCAAGGAAGAAAGAAGAGACAAGATAAGGAATGGCTCTCAACGAACACTTGGGAATTATTGGAAGAGGGATAATGGTGAAAGAGAAAATGAGTCAATGCAAGGACGGACAGGAGAAGGAGACGCTGAGCTCAACTTACACAGCACTGGACAAAGAAGTGAAGAAGAGTGCTAGGAAGGACAAAAGACGATTCTACGACAACCTGGCCACTGAATCTGAGAAGGCAGCAGCCAAAAGGGACCTGAGGACACTATATCAGATAACCAAATCTCTATCCGGGAAGAGACCAACACAAGCGAAACCTATAAAAGACAGCCAAGGGAACCCAATTACCAAGGAAGAAACACAGATTAAACAATGGGCGGATCACTTCAAAGGACTCTTGAACCGACCATCACCTGCAACCCGCCCGGAAATACCAACAACAGCGCACTCACAACTGCAAGTTGACAACAATCCTCCAACGGAAGCTGAAGTCTTGAATGCAATCGAGCTTCTGAACGCTGGAAAAGCAGCTGGGCTAGATAGAATTCCCCCTGAAGCACTGAAAGCCGACCCTAGAGATGACAGAAAATATGCTGACTCCATTATTGCAAAATGTCTGAAGGGAGGGAAAGGTGCCTACTGATTGGAGGAGAGGTTACCTCGTGAAACTACCAAAGAAGAGTGACTAAGGACTCTGCAAGAAACACATTCATCAACCTGAAACCAGTCCGGAAATCTTCGTCACTCACCATCAACAACAAAATTCAGTCGGATTTTCAATACAAACGTCAAGTCAGTTCTTCCATGGAGATCACAAACTTGGCGGACGGATCACAAAGAATATTTCCAGCATGTTGCAGATATTTATCAACAACTGCCTTTACTCTATACTGAAGATCAGATGGCCGGACCGGACAGAATCATCAAATATTGGAAACTATTGAAAGAAACAAAACGAGAACCAATCGCTCAACAAATATGCAGGAGAAAGTGGAGATAGATCGGACACTCGCTGAGGAGACCGCTGGGTGACATCACGCGTGAGGCCATTTTTCGAGTGGAACCCGAAAAGAAAGAGGCGAGTGGGAAATCCAACGGTAACACGGAGGAGATCGTGTGAAGAGGAGTTGAAACAGCATGGAGTAACATGGATGTAGGTGAAAAGTACAGCAGAAGACAGAAGCAAGTGGAGACGTGCAGTTGAAGCCCTATGTTCCACTAGGAACCCAAGGAAACAATAATAAAGAATAATAATAATGGAATAAACGTCTAAGTTATTTGGATGATATTTAATTATCACAATCGGACAACCCTTCTTCATTTATTGTAAGTCAAAATAATATCTGAGGAGGCTTGACACATCATTATAATAAATAAAGTTGGTAAGGGGGAACATTGTGTTCAATTTTATGTTTTTTGACTCTAATAAACAGTGTGTCAGTTTGCACCCGATACTAAGGAAAATTTAGTGGTGCTCTTTTGATTACCTCTGCTCTGAAAGTCAGCTGTTGGCGTTCTCCTCATGTATTTGTGAGTTATTCCCAACGAATCAATCGTCGATCCACCGCACATTTTCTGATCAGTTGTAGATTTGCTGTTGAGCAAAAGTAACCAGAATATATGCCGAATTGTAAAGAATATCGATCCGAATCGCTGATTTTCATGAGAAGTGATGTCAAATTGAATCACAAGGACACCTTCAGCTTTTTACTGATGAATGAGGGTGAATTGTGGTTGACTCGCAAATACTGATAAGTTCCTACCTAAAAAATCAATCTTCAGTGAATCTTTTGCAATATTTGATAAAATTACTGTAAGGTTACTGCAGGATTGCATGATGAGCATCACACTCACTTTGAAACTATCCGTGGAAATGAGTATTTTGTTTGTAAAACAGTATGATCCACAAATCTGGAAAAAAAATATCCAATATAAGGTATACATGTGGTACATTTCTCACCGCAAAAATCCTCTATTCCTACTGATTACGTATTTAAACATAAATCTGAAGCGAGTCAATGGTCAGATTGTTTCAACTATCCTCTCAATGTTTTCAACAGAGAGGATTCTCAAAACACTTATGAAAAGTCGACTTGATGTTTTGCGCCATATTTAATTAGGAATAAGTGGAACTTTGTTCCATGCTAATAACATTAAGTAAAGAAACACTGTAACTATTTTTTAGGTGAGGAAAATTAAAATGTTAGGTATTTATACTCTTCACTTATTCATGAATCTCTTGAGGCTTAACACCTTGAACGATTTTCAACTGTGCCGTCTAAAATTTTTCAAAGTAATTTTCAATAAATGTCAGTTGTTAAAATTATGACTTATGATTACAAATATGAATTCAACGAATATTTCGCATCAGATGCAAAGTCCCTTACTGAAAATAACAAACCCTGAATTTAATAAACACATTTGATATGGGTAAACGTGAATTTCACAATGACGATAGATCTAATGTGAATAAAGGTAATTCAATGAATGTCAATGTTCAATGCAAAATAGATTACTCAACCAGTAGTGTGTGGTTATTATTATATAGAGTATCAAAATAAAATGTGCAAAATATTCACTGTATTCAACTGGTCTATTACAACAGCTAAAGTGAATACGTTACACTGAGTTTAAGTTATTAGAATTTGAATCTTAGTCCAACTTCCACAACTTAAAGTATCTAATACAACTGTACACTAATCAAGTAGCCTTCGATGATATTTTACTCGGCTGCAGACACTGCGAAACAGGGATTTGAGCACGCTTTGTTGAGAACTTGACGGTTGCTGTAAATTCCTAAGTTATCATTAAAGATATAAAGATTATATTTGTAAACTCTCAGTTAGACTGAAATGAGCCGTTCCAAAGTTTATTTCATCAAATTGGTCTGGAACTCTTCAAGAATGTTATTCAAATTGATCAAATATAAACGTATATATGAATAGATTTATATATATATATATATATATATATATATATAAACGTATTTATAGATATGTTTCACTAGTCTAGAACAAACATCAAGACAAAATGGACTAAATTGTATTAACCCTGATCAAAACTTTAACACATATCCACAGGTGTAGCAATGGGATCACCAATATCCACTATCGTAGCAGACATATTTATGGACAGCTGGGAAAATATGGCTCTTAATACATTTAATCCTACTCCAAAAATATAGTGGAGATATATGTATGACACTTTCACAGTGTTAAAAACAGAACATATCTCTAGCTTCTTGACGCACGTAAACTCACTAGTGGAGGGAATAAAGTTCACATTTGAATCGGAAAATGAACAAGGAGAATTAATTATGTTAGATTGTAAAAAACACGAATAGAAGAAGCTAAACTACACACTAGTGTGTACAGAAAACCAACTCATTCTAATAGATACTTAGACTTTAATTCACCTCATCCGTTGACTGTTAAGGCAGGCTTAGTTAAGTGTTTAACAAACCGAGCAATAGCACTAAGTAGCACAAGAAAAGACCTAAATGATGAACTAAAACAGATAGAAGAGGCTTTGTTGTTAAATAACTATCCTTTAAAATTCATTAGGAAGATCAGAAAAGGCCAAACGAAAAATAAAAATAATTGTGAAACTATTAATAATAACATAAATAAGAGAGAATATAAGTCATCTACAGTTATACCATATAAAGAGGGGACATCTGAAACCCTACGTAGGATTCTAAATAAAGTAGGAATTAGGCTGGTGGCATTTAAACCTACAAACTCACTCAGGGACAAGCTGTGTAGGTTAAAGGACCCAGTTGACCCAATTAGACAAAAAAATATTATTTACAAATACCCTGCAATGACTGTGAGGTCAACTACATAGGTCAAACTAGTAGGTCAGGGGTAGTCAGATTGTCGGAACATAAGAATTTAGCTAAAGTAAGAATGGTTGACCCCGAGAAGATAAGTAAATTAGAAAAAAGCTCAGCAGGTGCAATGCATGCATTAACACAAACCACACAATAGGGTGGGAGAGGGTTAAAATTCTAAAATGTAATCTAGGTAAGTGGAGAAAGAGGTTGATTAGTGAAACCTTGTTCATCGAGTCTACACCCAACACATGCAATAGGAATGATTCATCACTCATACCCGAAATATGGAAAATACTATTACCAATCAAATCAAGTGAAAATCAAGAGAAAAACAGTGGAACTATATAAAGGAAATTAAGGAGTCGTGTGATTACCTTGATATGATTATGAGCAATAAATTGTGCTCGAAACGTCATCAGTAAACATTACTGTATAACACTGTGAGACTTTATCAAAACAAAATTTACCCATAATGGAATTACACTGTAACAAGTGCACAAGTTTCATTCTTATTTCAACAGACCCACAGATATTACTTAACTTTTGTTAAACCTGTAAACGCTGTCTTCTTTTCGCATGTTTAGTGATTCTATTCGACTAGAGTTCATGGTCGTAGATAACTGAGTATGAAAAACATATGTATATGTGGTATACAGCGGTGTATGTGTATGTATATATGTATGTATTTATGCATAGCGAGACAATTGTGATTCAATTGTTAGGTCGTGAAATATTTTTAATATTAGTAATGAATAAGTAGGACTTTGTTCTTATATTAGGACAAGAAATAAAGGCGAAAAATATTGTTTTCAATCAGATCTTCACTCTTTAATCTTATTTATATGGATTTATAACAGTTTTAACAAGTGACGGTGATTTTGTGGATCCAACAGTAATAATGATAATAATAGTAACAGTAATGCTGTAAAAGTTTTGAACGTGAATAATAACGATGATTATAATGATAAGAGTAACAAAGGTAGTGTATATGTTGACAATCCAGTAAATAAATCAGGTCTATATTTACTGAACAACACAACGGACTATGATCATTTGAAATATGAATAAAACGTTCGATATTTATCAACACAGCTAGAATATATGTGCAAAACATATATAACTATTTTCTAACATATGCATGAAAAGATACGAGTGTTGCACGTAAGTCAATTACTTATGTTTCCATATAGATGGTTGTGTAGGGTATGGTTCATTCTCGAATTTACTGGAACGGCACTTATATGGTGTGATTTTAAATTTAATTTGGAATATGCATGATGCTCTTTATTCGATATGTACATTCGTCATATGGTTATTTTAGTTAACGGTGAATTAGGAGTATTGTTTGGTTTAGTTCCGTTAATACTGAGGGATCCAGTGAGTGTGGAGGGGAATTTTGTCATTGCTGGCCGTATTTCCATTAAATTCACTGTTCACTATGGCATGTCAGGGACGAAACTGGTGTTCATATTCAGTATCTGCAGTATGGTGGCAATCGCCTATCGCTTTACTTACTAAAGGTGCATCCTTAGCGAAATGGAAATTCTTTAGTTCCTTAGGGAGATGAGTTTATTGGTTCACACATAGTTTCGTGTTGCTTAAGTTACTGCAGTATATATTTTTTTATGATAATGGATGTTCACTCACAGAAACTCACACGCAGCAGTAAATCTCATTTAATACCCAGTTGTAATTAGAACAAACTTCTGAAAAGGCAATAACACGCTTCTCTTCTTCAGAATGATTGACAATAAGGTTACATTTAAATCATGCAGCTTTTTATCATGCAAGAGTTGTTATCAGAGTTTTTTTAACCATTTTATCAACTGGTCTTTTCTTCTTGAAATTTCAGGGCATAAGAATATGTCACGGTTTGATTCCTCTCATGTAAATTCGGCATCTAACAAACAGGCACAACAGAATGTGGCATCTAGAGGGTATAATACTTGGGTATGAATGTCATAGCCTTTTGATGAATTTTTTAATTTATAGTTGCTTGTAGATTTATGTCTTATGCTGCTGGTGACAGTCGTTTTATTCATCGTGTTATTGACAGTGTAAGGTTCAAATAAAAAAAGGCATTACCTTGTTTTACAGAGAAACTCTTTCTGACTTCCTCAAGTTACATCATTATTTGTTATTTATCTTTTTGTAAGTTCACTGACTATTTATTATCACTATTTATTCTTCAATCAACTCTTGCTAACTATGATAAGTAGAATTCAGTTACAATACAGTCCACTGAAGCGACGCACCACATATGGAAACTACGTTATAATGTCCACTGAACTATGATGTGGACACTTTGACTGTTTATATTTTGCGCTTAAGTTTTTGTAAGACAGGTCAATCTACCAAATACCTCCTACGAATTTCCTCACCTAGTGTTATATAACTGTCACTTCCATGCCTTAAGTGTACACACACTTAATAGAATTCATCGATTGTACTCGCCTTTATCAGAACTACATTTATGTCACTCTCACATACACTATTCCGCATTAAGTAGTGCAGTATACTGTTAATGGATGTCACGAAAATGTTGATTCCTTCCTAAATTAATTATTTTTTGATCAGATCTATTCTTCCATATTTGTCGATATTCCAGTAGCCGTCTTAACTAGGTGACTACATTCAACTGGTTTTAAGAAAATAATTCTCATAAAATTTATTGAAAAGTATTTCATATTGTGGATTGATGCAAGTATTTATTTAATGAAATAACTGGACTTTCATGAATTCTACGTGGGCGTACGTCACTTATTTCTGAGATATTAAGAAGGCTACTCAGTGTTTTCTGCATATATTTTTCATATGGTGAAATTAAGCAGGCCTTAAATGTCTCTTGAATATTATTATGTTGTTAAAAATGCTGATCGTTTTATCTTAACTTACTATCAATACCTTCTCCGATCTTTGTATACTGAGCGAAACAGACGCATTCAGATACGAATCTTCATTACATTCGGTCTGCTACAGGTCGTCTTATTTTTTGCGACAACCTGCTCAAATACTGTCGTTCACTTGCCACACAGACGTGCAACCAGTCAAGTGCTCTTCGACGTTTATTGAATGAAATGGCATGACATGTGTTATGATTTATGTCGCCAATTTGTTATGGACCTGTCTCTAATTGTTATGATCGCATTGACAGTTGATATGACCTGATTGGCTGTTGAGTGAGTATAATGATACCGACTCAATGAACAACTCAGCTGATATGTTAGGTAGGCATTTTAGTTCGTGATGCCTTCCACCTCACTGAGCCACATAATAATCAAACAACAGAGACTAGCCTATAATTGTAAGGATAGCTTTTTATCAGGAGAAAGCACGTCATGTTTGAATCTTCATCAGTGCTTGTTGCTGAATCAAAATTTCGTAAGTTTATGTAAAATCTAAAGGTTTGATCAGATTTCTTTCATTGACGTTGAGTGGTGCTGATGGTATATGGCTTTTACGTTTGTTTATCTGAAGATTCATCTTCTCTCTGTCGCTTCTGTCAACCTACTAACTTCTTCTTTTAAAATCCTCGAAGTTTGTGCAAAGTAAAAATAAATTCATACTCAAAATGCAGATTTGGTGGACGGGACTTTTATATGTATCATGAAATATAGTCATTTATTCACTACTAAAGAATACATCGATTCGTTCACCGAGTACATATTTCTTCTCGGCGACATAGTTTCATTCTGATAGGAATGCATTACAAACTTTGCAGAGCATTTCATATACGTGAATTGATATTAAGAATTGAAACTGGCCAGGTGTTTTTAAAAACTTTCTGATAGTCATGATGAAGAAGGTATAGTTGAAGTTAAATAAAGTCAACTTAAGTGATAAAATAAAATTTTAAAAATAGAGCATTACTTCAACCAAAGTAAAGAACAGGGATTAGCAAGCCACTTCGTTATACACAGTTGGGGTTTGTGTCCATGTCTAGCTAGAGCTCAACCTATACGTTAGTGGACAGAACATGAACTTCCAGATAGCAATGAAGTGGACCACATGGGGTTGGATGACCTGACCAAACGAGAGGTTTAAACGTGGAGTTCTTTGTCATCCTATGTTCAAATTTACCAGCCATACAGAGCAGTGATTGCAGTTTAAGGAGAACATGCCTACAACGTTTAATGTAATCAACCTGACAGTAGCATGCGAATAGTAGATACGCCCGGTGATAGGCAAACGTGGTAGTTCTTTCCTCTTACTTAGATTGCGAAGAGATAAAATCGGTGTTCATTGCACTTGGATAAATTCTTAAATACAGGGAAAACAATGTTAACTCTGAGTGCTAAACACATACACAGTGCTTCCTTCAGCACTATGATATGGCCAGTAGTGTTTTATCCCCATATACTTTATTCAGTACATCTTACAGGCTGTCTAGTTTGTCAGTTTGTAAATTCTTGTATTCTACCCATCCTCCTTTACTGCTCCCCATTGTTCTTTCCTGGACTACTAAGAAAGACTTTGCTTTGCTGAGAAGGGCACTAAAAACCGTTAGTAAGGCAAGTGGGATATCATTAAAACAACTGGTTAACACTATTGTGGATAGACATAGTATGTCATGTAAGAAACTAGCGCATACAATATTGTCAGACCCCGAGGATCCTCTCTATACGCAGCTGTCTACTTTCACTTCATATGATAAAACGAGAAACAGCTATAGGAGGCTATATGCTAGGACCACCAAATACGAAAACTCCACAAAACCATATCTGGCACAGCTGCTTTGTGATGAGAAATCCGTTAGGTATGACACGATCAACTCAATGCGGCACTCTAACAAATTGTCCCATTAGTTTTTGTTTTCCTTTTCTCGTTAATATTACACTGTTGTTCTAATCTTCTATCACACACCAATTTTATACTTTATATCCTGTGGTGCATTGTTTAAAATGTAAACGCTACGCTGTTGTTTTTTATTTATCTTTTACTTTTTGGCAGTTTTTTTATTTTTTTATTTTAAAAATCCTATAAAATTTATGAGGTAATTCGATGCAATATATTGTAATGCACGCTAAATATTCCATACCTGTACCACAAATACTGTTTGAAATAAAGCTGTTATTATTATTAATAAAAGCTGTTGGATAAAAATTTTTAGTTTCGCCATCGATTCTATGCTTAAGGCATATTCTAAAAATACCGGAATAAAGCGAATGGGTATGATTTCTTTTCCTGCTAACTGTTTAGGCAAGTGTTCTGGACTGTAAAAGGTCAGCTTTTGGTAGACCAATATTTTGAAAAATTACGTCGATGGCGTAGAATGTGGAATTCTCTTCTTTGTATAAAGTGATCAAGTGGGATGCCTATCTGAAATTCTTCCTCATGATGAAGGAAACCTAAGCTATCCCAACTAAAATGGTCTTACTTTATGTATAGACAATTAGAGATTTGAATGCTGACCCATAACTCACCAATCATGTAATGCATAATTTTGATTAACTTCGTACTGGCTGGTGTGAAGTGCTGTTAATGTTTGGCAATTTATTTTAGGATCCTGGGTGTCATTCTTTTAGGTTTAATTTTATTTGTGCACAAGATTCGATCACAGTATGTTGCTGTTCGTTTGCTGCTCGCAATCGTGGTAAGTATCGTATTTATTTGAACCTGTATGAAAGGATGAAGATTCTCAGTGATTTGCTTTTGCAAGGAATGATTGTTGATTTCAATGTTTTTGCAAAACTTTCTACTCACGGTCACCTCGTTAATGTATTAACCCAGTGTGCATCAACACCGCCGTTATCATGACTTGTGGGAGCATTGTTCATATCAACTTAAATGAAAATGTGTAAGGCAGAGGATTCCTATTTCTTCAAGTACTTGGAAATTCCAAGACGCATGTGAATCTGATGTTTGGACAACAGAATTATAGTGAGTTTATTGATTCAGCTGCCAAATGCACTGAACCCAGTAGGCACTTACGTGACCCTCATATGCTAACAGAATCATAGTTAATACGTGTGGTTGTATCACTTTGTTGTACGCAGTCCATTTCGACAGAAGTGAAAGTCAGTTCTTCATTTCAGATTATACTGACATTAATCGAGTGTGAAATTCTTGTGGATTCGTTACATATACATTTGACGGAAAAATTTCATTTGTTCCATACAGAGGAATGCCAAACATCATATTGTGGAGATACGATGGCATATGTTAAGTCCAAAAATGTCGATAACATCCACTTTGGGAATAATTCATTTGCATTTTCAAGCAGATAGGTTGACTATAGAACTTCAGAGTTAACATGGTTCTGCATTGATTTAAGACAAAACAGAAATCCTACTTTCACATGATGGTAGGAAACTACTGCAGTCCTCTTTGACATAATGTGCATTTTATCATGTCACCTATCGCACAATAATAATTTAACAATGTTAATAGCAGTTTCTTAGCACAGATAATAATTTTTGACATGCGGCAAGCCGATGAATTGAAAGCAAACTTCACAGTACAGAGAAATAATCTTATACTTTACTGAAATATGGAAGACGCTTCAGTCTGAAGACGGATGAGAGCAGAATGTAAATCTATTTCACAAGACAGCCTTCCGATATGTATTCGTTCGGGAATAACAAAAGGAGCATGTAGCGTCTGCGCTAAGTTCCAGATTAGTAATTTTGTTAAGATCGCAGAAAAAATAAAACGACATAAGGCTGTGAGAGAAACTAAGATGAAAGCGTTTCGTGTGAGTAGTTAACTGAACATTGTGATAGTACACATCACTGTTTCTCCATCAACGTCAAAAACTTTTATGGAGTGAGAAAAATCCGAAAAGGATTTTCGCAGATAGATTCATATACGGTGTAGGTTACAAATCGACGAACAAAGACGTTAAGAATAGTGTCAAACAGCACTTAAGACTCTCAGATATAAAAAAGGCAAATTAAGCAGAATTGTTTGCTAGTAAAGGGGGCTGCAGCATATTACATTATTTGACTAGTTTGCCATCCAGGAAGCATTTTACGTAAATGAAACTGGTGGATACTGATGAAACGAACTCAAGTGACAAAGAGTTCTGACTAACCGAACGCTTGAAGAATGGCTTCAAAAAGCTCCTCAATCCACTGCTGGCTATTAACCTTTCAGAACTATCAGTGATCATCAAGCTCTAACCAAAGCAGAAGCCTTAGATACCATGAAGGTAATACGGGCTGAAAAGGCAGCAAAAGCTGGTGGAGTCTTTTCAAAGATAATAAAGTTTGGAAACAGTGACTTCATAAGGCTCCAAAGAAAAAAATGATTGCAGTGCATGCAATAGCTGGCTTGGTACCATAATTATGAAAACCTGATCAAAATAGAAATCTTTACACGCATGGGAAGATCAAAACGTTCCCCATGTAGAAGACGCTGCTCGAAACAAGGTGGATTGGGAAGACATATGTTATGCCATGAACAAATGAAACATTGCGCGTCATTACGAAGAGAACCTAAAACGTCAATTCCAAACAAATCGACTACTTCACCTACTCAATCAGCGAAGTGCTTATTACTCCTAGATATATGTGGAGGTCGACGTCGTTGCACACATAGAACAGCTTCCGCCTTGTAAACACTAGTGAGACGTCAGTGACTTTTTAGGGTTCGGAGAATCTTTGCCTGCCTTATTGAGAGAGTTTTCGAAAGAGGGAAGTGAAATTGCATCAACAGATGTCTTCTTTCCGTTCGTTGAATACAAACCATAAGCAACACGTTAATCTGATAGCTAACCACTCAACATTATATGGAACTGTTAAATATGGGGATGGAGATAGGTTGGGCATAATCCAAGAAGACTTTCCTGTGGCATCATAAATCAAAACAACTAGTTGAATTAGAACATGAAGCTGCCTGTTGAAGTTCTCCGACAACAAGAAGAAGAACATTGAAGGGAGAAATGAAACTTTGTTGGCTGTCACAGGGCCTGAAACGTGTCATAGCAAAGAATCAGTGAAAACACAGTGTTCAAATTAAGGTATGTGTTCCAATCGAAATGAGAAAGTCATATCTAAAAAATCGCGACTATTTTATTCTTTTTTGTATTTTTGTGCTATAGGTTGTCCTGTGGTCTGTGAGCTTAGCTATTGCGTTCACCTCCTTTGAATGGGCATTTCTATGGATGTCGCTGGTTATCACAATTGTTTTGACAATTACAACGGTCGTGCTGGCTTTGAAACTGCCACCGTTGAGTGAAAAAGGATTTATCTTATTTATAGTAATGTCGATAGTCTTCGCCACCTTAGCATTCATCACAAAGTTTGTCAATTACTTCATCCCAGAGACATCAAATTTACTCAAAAGTGTAAGTCCTAATAATTATTGAATAAAAGATTTATATTGATTATTTATGAAATCAGATAAAATCTTAGGTTATTATATGGCTGGTGGCAGGAAGTCTTTGGCATAGGTCTTGTGCCTCACTGCGCTTACCACTGAGGCTTATCTGAAAACCTGAAAGAACGCATCACTCAGTGCTGTGATCAGCGGCGCTACTGCTGAGTTGTTCAGGGTCGCGACAAATCTACTGTCCGGCCGTTTTGGATATTGAGATTGGACACTGGTTAGTCTAATGCGTCTAGTTCTTTGTTTTGTGGAGACTGTGCACTAATCAGTGGTTTACAACCTATCGAAGAAAGCTTAAATTATTCATGAAATGTTCACAGTTTTGTTCGCAAGCTGATGAAGTTACACTTGAGACAACTGAGTGTAGCAGAATATGAAATTGATCTGAAATATAAATTTGGGTTCTTAACACGAATCTGACCTTCATCCTACTTAAGTGACGCTTTGGTAACTAATACGACGTGTAGTTCACAGTTCAGTTTTATTTCAAAATCACGAACAATTTTTTTTGACAGTTTGTATTCAGAATGATTGTTCAAGGCTTGGTTTGGGGATGTTTTGACGGTTATTCAAATGTTGAAAGTGTATATTTTATTAAATAGTTGCATTAAATTGCATTAAATAATGCATTAGGATATATATCGCGTGTATATTTAAATACATTCTGAGTGTATTTATTCGTGACTGAGACATTGTTTTCTGCATATTTCAGATAATCTGCAATTTTGGAACTGTTTTTGCAGTATCATTTATTGTACTCGTGAGTCTGAGGTTTCATTACTGTATTCATCACCCGAGTCGAATGTAATTCTGATACTTCGTTATTCGTGTAAACCTCTCATTGAAACATATAGAAAGTCAAAATCAGTGATTTAGTGAAGAGCGTCTTTACAGCAAAGTTATTTTCAAGTTGTACATTCGTGTGTATCTGGTATTTTAATCATAATTGAACTGTGAAATAATAAATGGTTATGCACTTCACAAAGTAACTACTAGCATGTAGAAATACTAGGGATCGCAAGCAATTAAAATATGATGCATCCCTGACCGTACTTATCTGTCGTTTTTCTCATGCAACTCTCTTATCCAACCCTTATTGTGTCGACTTGTATTATTAGTTCCAATGCGAATAATTTCCAGGATAGCCTCATTTGTCACCACCCTTCATCCGTCGAACTTGACATGACTTTTTCGCAACGTTGTTTATTCATAATTTTCATATTGTTGCGTAATGTTCCAAATGCTTCCTACTCCTGATGCTTCTGCTTATCTTTTGCAGTACTATTTGGATTAGTTTGTCCCATACTTCACAGTATTATTGAAAAGTCAGATATATACTGTTGTACAGCTTGACAATGAATTTGTTGAAAACGAACTCTTGAATAGATCACAAGGTCCGATTTTCTGCATAGTCCTGCATTGGATAGAACATGGGACCTGTAATTCCTCACTCCATGTTCAAACAAGAATACTGGCTGATATGTGATAGGGATGAAAACTTTCTTTTCGACGAAATCATCAACCAGGTAGCTGTACATTCGTGTATACATAATAAATAAATGAGAATGTTTCAGAATTATTTCCAGTCAAAAGTTAAATTACTAAAACTAGTAAATGTAGTAAGCGGAAGATAGGCAGTAGTACTATTCAAGAAATACTCCAGGTCAAAGTTTAAACTAATAAATTCACTATGTGTGATAATCACGAAGATCGTGTAAAAACGCTGTACGATTATAATTACCAGAAAACTCATCCCTTTGTATAAGTAAGGAATGAAGACGTAGTCTTACAAAAATAGGTATTCAAATCGGACGTATAAAAAACAGCAACCAAATCTTGTAATGCAGATAGAATTGAAAAGCATTCAGATAACAGAGATAAACAGTAAGGTTGAACTAGAAAGGTAATCGGATAATCATTATTGATGGGACTGACGTCTCAGGATGGTAAGCTTTGATTTCACTCCTTTTGAAAAGGTTTGATTGGATTTCATGTATGACTCTGATCGATATTTCAAATGGATTTCTATATCCTGATTTCACCAGATGTTCTGTCAACGAACCGCATACACGTTTGCTTTATCCCTAGTTGATGACTTCGTCGAAAAGAGAATTTCTTTGCTGCAGTCATCTTTTTAATAATCACCACGATTCAACGTGTATGTTCTCAAATTTCGTATAAATAAATAACTTGAAAGCAGATGCATAGCAACCACAGAGAACGTTTAGTGAATGCGCATATTATTAAGGGCATGAGGAGAATAAGCATCATTCAAGCATATGACTTAATACCTCTACGATAACCACCCTATAACTAGTTGCTTACGTGTATTAAGGCTTCAGGTTTGCGCAGAGTTTGAATTGTTGTGCAATTTATATAAAATACTGCAATTTCCGTTTATCTGTGATTTCATATTCCCTTGCATCTCATTTCGATACCTAGCACAACAATCACTTTTAGTATATTGATAAATAAAGTATAAATTGATCAGAATATGCCTTTATTGGCGATTTCATAGGAAAGATCGGCATCTGTACACCACACTTTGTAAAAAAACTGAACCAGTGTGGTGATATTCTGCTTCGATTAATGTAATTAACCCATGATTGGGATCATATAGGATTAATAATTGACTGTAATGTTCGGCAAGCTTTCAAAGCAGAGTGTTCAAATGTGCATCAAGGGAATATTATGTACGGTTGTCCACAACATAGTAAGTGGAATGCAGTTATGATTATAGCAGTGTCTTCGACGAAAAGTTATCAGACGATTAATAAACCTAATAATTAGGTTGTAAATACAGGATGATTTAATCAGAACTCTTCCAGATCTAGTTGAAGGCTGACTTAGCAATCATTCTCGTTATCAACAAGGGTAAGTTGGTCGTAAATTCTGAAATGTTGCTCTGCAAATAATGATCACATCAAAAAATAACAGTTTATTACTATGATGTAGACCTTTCTCTACACGATATAATCCTTCTTTGCGTCTGAATGCGACGTCTTCTCTTCTACACAATAGATGATATTCCTTCTTATCGGTCTGCGTCATTGGATAATCTGGTTTTTCGCACCACAACCGTCAGAATTTATTCTAGCCTTCCTCGTTTGGTTTCTAATAATCATCCTATTTACAGAAACATATACAAGCTTGGAATTGTGCATACCAAAAAATGACACAAAAAGAGGAACATCCGGTCATAAAGATACCCATTTTCTCGCCTTACAGACTATTTAAACACAAAATAATTAGCTTATTCATTAAAACACTTAAACCATATATTCTTCTTGTAGACCATAGTGCGCAATATGATTTACTTCACTTAACAAATTTCTGAGTTTAGTAAATGGACAGTTTCCCGAACATTTTAAATATGCAAATAAAACAATGTCTCTTTGTGTTTCTTTTCCAAATACCAATTTGAAATCATTGCATTCTGACTGTGTTGTGTGACTGAGCACTATCTTACAAAAATGTAATTTGAATGTAAAAAATAATTTCAATTTACTTAATCCAACCAATCGAGTAACACTGGTGAACGAACTATCTTATAAAAATTTTTAAAGTAGCGCACGAGAGAACGGCGAATTTTGAGAGTGGGAATGAATTAGAAGTATTGAGAAATTAATTCGCCGTCAAAAGAATACACAACAAATAAGTTGTCTTTGCTTTAGACTCATCAGGATCGCGCACCAGTTACCACTCAAAGGATCGAGCCAATAGGGTATCACGCAAGCTGATATAACGCTTAAGGACTGATGGAATTCACTGGCACATCAAACCTGATTTCCTTTAGTTCATGATATGAAACTTCTTCGCCAGTCATTGTTATGAGTAAATATTTGTCCTCATACTCAACTGATTGAACTCTACTGATCATGACTTCTTACTGGAGATTGAAGCACCTACATGTTATAGTGAGTCGCATTGTGAGCACTGACATATGTGTCGGTTTGTGAAAAAGGGTCTCTAGTGGATGAATAATGCCAGTACGTATGAGAGATACGTTTATATTCTCATACAAGTATGCATTTTTCAACCTGCTTTTGTACAAGTTTTTGTTTTGTACGACCACAGTAGTGTTTGAAGCGAAAATGCAATAAACATGAGGTAAATTTCGTGACCATAAACTTCTCCTTAGCTAATCTTGGGCATGTGCGAACAACCGAACCGAAGACGACATCATATTAAATGCCAAATTTACTTTATCACTCGGCATAAACCGTGAAGGTCAGCACCCAGTGTTAAGTAATGGGAGTGGTGAGATTGTGTACATTCACAAGCCAAATCGTCACTTTAAAATATATCCACTTTCTTCAATGTCATCGACGAGTATTCTTCCTCACAAGTAGATTGATAGAAGTAAGAATTCATAGGCCATGTGATTCTGTTCCAGTGGCTGAATAGTATATGGGCTTGCATAGTAACCTGTAGGTCTAAGATCCGATGCTTAGTGATATCATAGATATATACTATTGAGGAGCCACAAACAGGAACAATATAGCTTTACAGTACTCCTCTGTTTGCAAAAGTTCTCTACCTGAGGTCAGTTTTTGAATAAAATCGAAATAAATCAGGTCCTTGTAAATTGATTCATGAAAAGTCTATGAATTTACCTGCTATAGTGAGTCCTCGTTCAGTAGCATTGAAGCGAATGAAACGCAATATTGTATACGTCTTACACATGAATGTGATTTCAAATACTGAAAGAGAAGGAAAGTGTACACCACTTAAATTACCATTATATTTTCTGCTTATGTGGTAATAGTTCTTTAGATTTATAACTATGAAGTGACCTCCATCTTTTAACCAAAAAAAACATACGCAAGGAGAGCGGAGAAATGCAAATCCTTGTTATCGTTGTACCATTGTTTAAGGGTTTTCATAAGAAAATGCTTCACTTTTGAATATGCTGGAATCGTATTTCTGATTGAAGTCCATTATAGGTGATTTCAGGAACTTGTATCCATCTTGATACCTGTCAACCCAGGCAATACAAAATGGATTGAACATGCATTTTCTCAAAAAATAGAATTAAAGAAATTTCTGAGATAAACAATGAAGCCTTCAAGTTACCACACGATTTAAAGGGTAGTAGATAAATAAATGATCACATTTCAGTGGATCCCATTAGTTGAACTCCCTTTAACTGAACAAGTTATGTAAAGATTCTTTGAGCTAATAACGAAGGCTCAATGAATAAATTTGTATGATAAGAGGTGAATATGTCTAAAGAGAAACATTAAAGTGACTGAAATAAGGACTGAGAATGCAAATTGAAGTGGACGATAGTTCACTTATGCTAACAAAATACCGTACAATTATTCATTGAAGAGATAGTTCCATTGTTAAAGCAATGGAAATATTTTTAGCAGTAGTATTGATGACAGTTATTCACTGTTGTCATCAGACAAAGAAGCTTGAAAGTGTCTGAGGTCTCACTAACGCTTCTTTTAGAGTTTAATAAACCCCTTCTGTTTTTAAAAGTAGAAATGGCGGTCACTTTGAATAAACCAAGGTTACATTTTTATTTTATTATCTGTCATAATTAGTGTTTTATTTTATTCCACTTAGGATCATTATTTTCTTAATTAAAACAACAAACTTTAAGGATCAGTAAATTAACTTGCTTCACCCAAAATTGAGTCGAGAAATTTGGTTCTCGACATGAACTTAAGCAAATTTTATTTAGCTTTCAGCCTACCTCTGTCGTAGTGTAGTGAGTCCTTTTTTAAGATAGAACAACGTAGCCTCATGCAATACATGGTTAATGAATATCTCAACAGGAGATCGTGATATGGGATTGAGTGTTTCGCAAGAGATTACTCTGAGAATTTCTTCCTTAAATTCAAAATAGTTTGCAGAATAAAGCTTTTTCATTTTTACTAAACCTTATTTTGTAGCCCTCTGCATCTGCAGTCTTCGAAGCACTTTCTACCCCTTATCTTTCTGTCAATATATATATATATATATATATATAAATGTACATAAATATATCACTTTAAGTAGAGTATTAAGCTGACCTGTGCAAATTCGATGAATTCAATAAATCCTGTTGTATTAAATGAAGCCTTAGGAAGACAAGGTTTGTCGTTTGATATCATTTTGTAATTTTGCCTACAATCTTTCTTCAACTAGCATCGTTCACAATAATAAGGTAGAATATTTGACACTTTCTCAATCTCATAAAATCAAAATGCTGACTGTATATCAGTTGGTCGAGTAGTCAAAGGTATTTCGAAGGATGACGTCGATTGTGTTTTCTGTGCACATATATAGTTTTGAATTCATGCTATCCATCCCCTAAGTGCTTCCAGTACCTTCAAGAACCTTAAAATAATGTTTTGCGTAATAACTGATTTTGTGATAAGACATTGATGAATACTTTGCATTGGATGACAGTGGGTTTCTATTCAGAATAAGCTCAGTCGGATTGACTATTTGAATTATTAACCACTAAAAAGCATATTCTTTCTAAGGAGATTAAAACCTTCTGTTGTTTCTATCCATACATGCGGCGCCAAAATTGCCAGTGTATATCAAGGTATTATGCAAAATAGAATCATTATATAATTTTCCTCTTTGTTTGTAGACGTATGAAATGAAAATTATTGGGAGGCATGGAATAGAGAGGTGGGCCAGAGTGACTTCAATTCAAGTCCATTTAAAGTAAAATATCATGTTTCACAAATTATGTGAACAGAAGCAATACACTTTACCCTATGCACACCACTTCAGCTATCATAAAATTATGACTAGTTTTTAATTTGCACCTTTATTATGATACAACTGAATCATTGTCAAACATTTTATTTTATTATTGTGAGTTATGCTAGTTGTGGAAATATAGTAAGGAAACTACGAAATGACATTTTCTTCTCAACATCTCATTCAAGTTAATAATGAGAGCTAACCATTTCGTTGGTTTATCAACTGTTATTCTGATTGGAATATGCATCCGGGCTCAAAAAGCAATCACTTTACACTGAACTCATTCATTAACCAAGTTCACTTGTAATGAACACTATAAGTAAATACGATACTGGAAATTTATTTCATATCAGCGACCAAAACAATAAGATTCAGATAGCCAGATCAGGTACACGATGTAGTGAGATAAGTCATTTAGTAGACGGTTTGTGGTGATGAAAATTTTAATGATAAATGATACATAACAAATTTTTCGAGGACAAATTATACCAGTATATGATTGGTCTGATGATTTTTTTGTCTAGATATATTTACCGTTTTACACCTTATGAGAACAAATCGTCGAAAGAACATTCTCCTGGCTGTTTAGATCATTTTCATTTAGAGAACTTTGATTTTGATTTTAGTGCATAAAAATGAGTCTGGTCACATGACGAAATTCAGTTTATAAGTTGAACAAAGAGGTAGTGCGTTTCTATACTTGCATATGGAAGCCTGCTTGATAAAACGTCTACGAAAAGCCTCGCTCACTATGCTGCCTAAAACGTCTCCTGTTAACGTAACCTTATTCTATGACGTCTTCGGCATTTTCCACTATCGCATGTATTTGAAAAATTTAAAAATGGCTGATTAACGAATTTATACTACACTGCAGAGACAGCATACTCGTGTGAACCATCGTATCACAATGGTGCTGATTTACCATTGCCAGATGCCTGTATTGAAAGATCATAATCACCGTTCAAAAAATCAAAGAATACTCATATCATAAAGTTCAATAAATTATTGGATGAGAAATCTCCATTTGAGAACGATGAAATCAGCAATCTCATGACAACAGTGATAGATGAAACAAAGTGAGTTATCAATCTCTGAACACATGTGTTAAGTCCCGCAGATGTAAGTGCATTGGCAAAAGGACTAAATTTCAATGTGGCGGTAGAAAAGCTGAAACCCGAGGATATCATCACTAAAATAGAAGTAGCACTAAGTGGGGTAGACAAAACAACGGTAAACAAAGTACGGGCACAATGTGCAATTACAATAAAACGAAAAAATGTGAAAGCCTAACCCGACAAAACCAGAGATAGGAGCCCTGAAACACCTAAAAAATAACAAAGATATAGTAATCAAAAAGCCAGACAAAGGAAATACAACAGTAGTAATAAACAAATCAGACTATGTGAACAAGGTGAATGCTCAAACACAAACAGGATTATATTAGGAAATTAATAAGTCAATAGACACAGTTATGAATAAGGTTAAGAAATCCACAGTGGAAATTGTATGACGAATAAGGCCGTTTTCAGGTGAGTCAAAATGGTTTAATTTTATGCCGAAAACTAATAACGCAGTAGCCTGTATGGCGCTGTTAAAGTTCATAAGTCACAGTACCCTATTAGACCTATAAATGATATTATAAAATCACCTACTTTTTATTACATTATTATTATTATATTCTTTAATTTCTAGAGGACATATAGCTTCAGCTGCCCGTCTCCATTGCCTTCGGTTTTCTGCCAACATTTTCACCCCGCTCCAAGTCTGCCAACATGCTTTCACCTCCTCTTCACTTGACCTCC